GTTGGGTGAAGCCCATGTAGTTGCATGGCGAACAATTTGATACATCATGGCCGTCGCGCATGCGAATCGTGTTACTCTGTGGACTTGCACTATGTTTCAGCGCGTATGAAATTACAAAGGAAACAGTGAAAACTGGACTTACCGTAGTCAAACCCTTGCTTTCATAATTTATAACTAAAACTTTTTTCAGGTCCCCAAATCTAATTTAAAAGAAGAACATGTCCCCTTGCCTTTGAGCAATATTGTTCGCAAAGAGTTGATGAATGGACGGTTCCCAACGCTTTTGAGATTTTCTACTGTTCCTGAGAAAATCTGCCATACTTCTCCTCTAATTTCCGTTAAATTTGTCCGAACGTGGCACCGTAAAACGTTTGAGATAAGTTCTCTGTTGCTCATGTAAGATGTCCCTAGATCGGAATATCTTGTTCGAAGGCAAAAGTCGAGTTCTATGCTGAAAACGTCCCATAAAAACTGGAATTGACGGTTCCTAACGCCCCTAAAAAAGGGTTAAAGTCTTCCTCTCAAACCAAGTGAGTTCATCCACAGCTGTCACTTTCACGCACTCGCTCGGACACCCTTCGTGCAACCATGCTGAATTCAGCCTCATTTCGTCCACCATTTTGAAGAGTCTCTTCTAGCTACGTAACCTCTCCTCCTGTTTTCTGAGTTGCAAAACAATAGATTTTCGCGGGTTTCTTTCAAATGTCGGACGAAACAAAAGGTTGTGATCATGAATATGCAAAAGAAGTTAAGTTCATTGAACCGGAACTTAGATATGCGGCTAAAGCGTTGGAGACGAAACCAATATTCGCCCTGGAAATATCCTATCCATTGCTAAGGGAATGGCACAAAATATTCGCTGAGGACACCTCTGAGAAAACCTCACAAGGTTCGCACGGCCTACAGCCTGTGTCAGATTATGTTGCTCTGTTAGAAGGGGCAGTTAGGGACCATGCATTGTTCTTCACTGAGGACACCACCAAGAGACATGAGATGATCCAATCATTGGCCAAAAGAGCGGGTTCAGTGGCAAATCTCTACAGGACAACAAAAGGTAGAGCAAGAGAGGCCTTAAATGACAGGGTCAAGAAGTTCCACATCTTTGAGGGCCAGGTAAAATCCTCTCAGGATCTCCACAGGAAAATAATTACATTGGAGAGCGAAATCAATGGATGGAGAACTAAACACAAGAACATTGAACAGGAAAAAGAGGATTTATTCCAAGAAATGACTCAGACTATTGAGGAGAAGGATAGTGTTATTAGTCACCTACAAAACACAAATAAGCAATTTGAAGACTATTTGGTTTATCTGGAAAAATTATCTATTAACGCTGAATACAAAGGGAAGCCAGTTTCTTCCAGTCAAAACAAAGCAAGAAGCAAGAACATTAAAAAACTTTCTCACTAGGGCTGAAACTGCTCTTTGGTTCAGCAAATATTTTGAATTAGACATTGAAAGCATTTTGGTAAAGGAGAGTAACTCAGGTGTAAAACACACCTTATCCATTCAGAAAATTTTGCCTTGTGATTTGGCAGGACCAAATGAGCAAGAAACCACCCTGAAGTACAATTCCCTCTCTGAGGAAGAAAAAAAGCAAGTAGAAGAAATACTCTTCCTCTTGGACAAGTTTTGTGTGGGTGATTCTTTTTTCCATGAACTTACTATGGTCACAGATGGGCTTCCAAAGTCATATCTGATTCAGCAATGCAGAGCTAATTTAAATAAGCTATGCCACATAGACAGCCTACCAGGAAAAGCACCTGGGGCAAAAGTTAGTGCTGTTAAGGAGCTTATCAAGGAGCATGTAGAAGAGTACCTGAGAGGAAACCCAGCAACTGAAAAAATCCAAATCAAAATAAATGGTGATGGGGCTCGTATGACCCGGAATTCCAGCTTTGTATTGTTGTCCTTTTCAATTTTACAGACAGGTGATCAAGTTATGACAGCCAAAGGAAACAGAACTCTTGCTATCCTTAATGGGAAAGAAGACTATACCTCTCTCAAAGAGTCCTTTGGAAGCATTTTTTGTGAAATTAACTGTATGATTACAGAAGCTAAAGTTACTTTTGGCCATACTGAAATCAAAACAGAAATTTTCCTTGGTGGTGACTACAAATTCATTCTTATCATGTTAGGTTTAAATGCCCGAAGGAATTCAATGAACAGATGTAGAAATAGAAAATCTCCTGGATTTTATTTTATGAAAAAAATCATATTAGTAAATAATCGCAATGCTGTCTGATCATTCGAACTGAATTTACCGCACAAGATCGATCGTAATGTTATCTTCGTTTTCCCAGCTGCAGCTGTAATAGCTGTACCCATCCCACTTTATAAGATACTCGATCTGCGAAAAAAAAAATGGGAGCAACTTCAGAATACCCGTCCACATCATTTACATGTGTCGGGAGGCTTTGAAGAATGAAGCATAACACAATAGATGCTATTCTTATTCAATGACATGTAAATGAGTGGCCGGGTAGCTTCTCGAACTTTGGACATATAAGAGGAGTTTTTCATACTTCGTGATCCAGTGACCGCCTCGAAATAACTCGTTCGACTTTAAAATATGCTCCCCGACTGTTGGGTTTTCTTCTCCTTCGTGTTGGCTCTAAAAAATCACTTGTGACCTGTGACAACTGCTTGAAGTAACCACTTAGGGGCCTATTCATCCTTTGCTCCACCATTTTTGTGCTAGCGAAACTTATGAGCCCATCTGTGCCCATCGCGTCAACCGCTGATAAAAACCATGCCGTGGGAGCCCGTGGTGATGATCGCTGACAACTTGCGCGTCAGCAATGACAACCGCTGACTGTATCGAATTGTTCGCCATGCCTTCGTCGGAACGAATGGACGAAGGGCTCCGACTATTAGCTCCGACGAAGGGCTAACACTCGAAGCGTCAGCTTTTGTAATCGTTACGGTGGCCAATTTTACCATTTCAACTTTGTTGATATATCCAAATTATTTCGTTACTCCCACCGACGCAGCCCCAAACAGTTTCTTTCGAAACTATCAGCCTTTATTCATTTCTACGAAATCATACATTGGAAGCGAGGTTCAATTTTCTAGGTTCATCGTTCAAAACCCACCAAAGCCTCATTTGTTTTAGGCTTTTTAACTGCAGTTTCTTTGATTGTATCACACCTGCGAGGATCATGGCTCTCCGGCTATTAGAAGAAATAACCGGTTGGTTGGTATAAGCTGTTATTTTATTAGCTCTGTCAGTTAGATTTCTAAATATGTGTCAAAGGGTTTGGCCAGTAAAGCATCCCTAACAAAACCGACAACAATGCAGGCTATTGGGGCACGTTCCGATGGGTGGCCGTCTGACTGGCCACTAGTACACTAGCTGTGTACTGTTTCGAGCTTACGGTGGCCCATAGAAGAAAAGTAAAAATGTTTGGCTGATACGTTTTGACTTCTTAAGCGTTATATCTTGTGCGCCTATCTCAGCCATGAAAACAGAATTGAAGTAAAAAGTCACCTTTGAATTGTGGAAAAAACATATATTTGAAGCAATTAATTTTTTTCCTGGGTTCGGTATCCGTCAATCACCATTTTTTCTTTTACTATTACTCTAGGTCTACTGTGACATGACAACAAACGGTAAAGGCTGGACTCTTATCGCCCGAATCACAAGTGGTGAAGAAGTAAAGAACTAGATGGCTGATAACGGATATTGGTGGTACGCCCGTCCCTTTGCAAACGCTGACATGATGTCACCAGCATTTTGGCTGGCCAGCGGTAGCGAGATTAAGATCACAACAGTGACGACCCCAGCCACACCCCTCTGTTACAGACCACAGGTGACTGTTTGGGTGGACAAACATTTCGATCCAAAATCACAAGTTATGGCGACTTTGCAAATGGCAGAATCTGGGCCAGTGATCGGTGTCTGGGAAGTTGTACGGTTCAGTATGGCGGACAGTACAAGGCAACAGACGGCTTTTAACAGGCTAAGTGCAATGGAGACGTCCAAAGCGCCAACAAGATCGGCTTCTAGTGTGACTGGGATGATGGTGGTGGATCAGTGATGATGATTGGTGGAGGAGGACGAATATGTAATCGTACATATCATGGGATTGGAATCACTGAAACTGGCGCTGCTTCTTTTGAAGACATCGAAACCAGCGAGACTGAATATGAATTTGGTTATTATGCTGTTACAGGAGACGCTCCATCCCAGTCCTACTCGTTGAACTTATGGATCCGTTATAAATAGTCAGGTCTCTCTTTTTCAAACTTAGTTTAGAACTGAAGAGCTTTGTAGAAAGGATATTATTCTTTTAATGTCACACTGTTATACAAGTTAGAAGAACATTTTAAAATGGTCAGCTGAATAGCGCATCTTTTTCCTCTCAGCAAAGATGAAATAAATTAACCGCCACCCCAGCTGCAATGCTATAGACTTTTTAACATCTTAAGATCTTCACCTGTGACAATTTAAATGCCATGACATCCTTTTCGAGAAAATCATATTCAGTAAAAGGATTTTAAGTAGGACTCATACCTCATCTTTTCAAGGAAATGTCAAGTATCCATTGAGAATTGTTTAGTGATGTCAGAAATATTATGCAAGATGTGTTAAATGTTTTAACAGATTATCTCCTCGTGTATAGTCATTGAACAGTCAAAAATAAATCGAATGAAGTCTAAAGTAGTTAAATTATGCTCGAGTTTACTACCAACTTTCCAACCGAAATAACAGGAAAAAGAAGCCATGAATTGATTGGAAACCCTGTGGTCCCGTAAACCAAAACGAGGTCTGAAACTAATAACTAAGGCACCGGTCGTTTTTTTATCGCTGGAAAGGAGGGTGGGGAAGGGAAGGGGAAGGGAGGGGCCTCGGAGGAATCTTGTTGTGTCACAATAAAATTTTTCAATGATCTGCTCTTATTGGCAGTCAATGTTCTACGCTTTTTATTCCACTAATTTATTCCTGTTTTTCTCGTTGCCATGTTCCCACGAATCACGTGGCTCCCTTTTCTGCCTTTAAAATCACACACAACCCACAATTCCTCTATTCGCTCCGACGAAGGGCTAACGCTCGAGACGTAAGCTTTTATAATCGTAACAGTGGCCAATTTACCATTTCAACTTTGCTGATATATTCAAATTGTAATGCTCTACAGCGCCTCCTTTAAATTAAACACTGTTAAAGACGACTGACTCCCTTTCAATCCCGCCGAAAACCAAGTTGCGGGACCTCGTTCAGTTTTGTTGTCATTCTCTGTCACCCCAGGATCAAGATCAATCAATTAATCAAAACCCTTATTTAAAAACGATAATTGTTAAAGTTGTAAAGCTCATGGAGTTGTTTATCTAAGGACCTAATGTGCTAACAGACGTATGAGAGTTTACAATTTCTCTAAAACCTAAAATATACAGCCATCTCGAGAAAGGTAAAATAAAGTAAATAAGGAAGTTCTGTCAACCCAAATTGACATAAGAAAAGGTGTTGAATTCAAAGCTAAGGATGCAACGAGAAAATATGACAACAAATTTCGTTATTCTTTTCCTTTTTTGTTATATATCCTGGTCCTCAAATTTCGAAATTTCTAGGTCTTTTCCACCTTTTTCTCTTTCAATCGATGATTTTATCTCTACCAGTGTTCTGCCTTTACCTTTAATCTACTTTAAAAATTGCTCTATCTTAATACATGATGTCTATAACAAAGTCGTGCCATCTAACATTTCTGCTCTCTTTAGACCCATTAAAGATGCTCATTATTATAACACACGATCTTCTACCGCTGGTAACTTCTATATCAACTACTCTCGACTAAATTACTATAAGAATTATCTTTCCCTCTATGGGCGCAAAAATTTGGAACTGTATTCCTGATGTTTTGAGACAGCTCCCAAAATATAGTTTCAAGAAAAAAAAATCACCGAATCTTTACTTCCAATCTTTCTAAACCGGGATTCTTATCCTGATATTGATACATTAATATATGAAATACACGAAACTAGATTTCGTTAAAAAAGAGAGTATTTTGAGCTTTTCCTGTTTTTAATTATGTGCTCGTGGCTTCGTAATTAGTATACCTATATTTTCGTATTTACTTTTGTAATTGACATCTGTACCTTTGTAACTGTTATTTAATTTTTTTGCCATTAGAACAATGATATTTTTAATATGTAATTGACACGTTTCTCATACTACCTGCCTCGATTAGCTTCGCTATATTGCAAGCAGTCTTAATCTAGAAGTTGAATTGCGATTATAGATAAAGATGTTGTTGTTGTTGTTGTTGTTGTTGTTGTTGATATGGGATCCTAATCTCCTACCACATCCAAACACTGGGCCGTGAAAAGCTGGATACGAGACTCATAAGATTCCCTAGTCTGCCGTAAAATAAAAGGGGGAAGGGGGTTGTGAGGACGAGGTCTTGGGTAAGGGATCAATTAAATTCTTTTTTATCAGGAATGCCACTGCTCAATGCCAAATCTTGCTCATTGTAATCTCATTAACAATGACAAAAAAGTGCGTTATCAAACTTCGGTTGCAGTATGCAGGGAAGTTCAGTGCTTTTTTCTTACCCTACCAAAGAAAACTTATCAATATCCTCTTTAATCCATCTGGTCCCTTCAATAACATCTCCATGTAACTACTAAAAGGCGTCTTATCTTTGTACTACTTCATTCTCTATTCCGATGTTTCTGTAAGTTGCGCCCTCTTTGTACATGTGTAACATCAAGTATCTCGAAATTCATTACACGAAATTAACGCAGGTCACAGTAGACAACGGGAAGCACAGCAATCCTTTTCAATCAATCATCACGAAAATGAGTTAAATACAACATCTCCTTCAGTCCAAATGAAAAGATTAAAAAAAAAAAAAACTCTGAATTTAATGTCAACTGGTAGGTTTCCGGCCTCTACTCGTCTTAAGCGTATTACGTTAAAAAGTAACTTAGCTGCGACAAAGGATGAAAATAAGCAGGAAAATTTATCCATGCAGTCACACGGGAAGTGCAAATCTTCAACTCTCTTTCAGGTTTATTACTAGAGTATTTACCAGAAGACCCTAAGCGTCGCGAGAATATATATGATGGACACTACATAGAAAGCTCGGGAAAAATGCACATAAAATATTTTTGGAAAGAGCTCATCGGTTCTTTCTATTATTTTCATTCTAGTGATGGTTACCCAGTTCTTGAGGATGCAGACGATCAACAAACGAATGGAAATGAACAAGGGGGGAGGGAGGGCAATTCTTAACGATATGCTTATGTGAATCTGCTGTTGAATGGCGGCGCATTTTCGCTACTAGCTTGACTAGCATGAGACTGTATTTTCAATAAAGTTATTAGAATGGAATCGCACACTTTCGGGATTTTGAGGGTAAGAAAACTCTCAGAATTAGGTTTTTAAATATAGGACACACACCTAACACCCCCCGGGGGGATTTAAAAGCATGGTTTTTATTCGTCGAGAAAATCCCAGACAGTTGAGGATTTCCTGCTTTCTGAACGTTTTGTGAACTAATAGGAAAATCAAAATCGTAAATATCAGTGACCATCCATGAAGTCGTCACTTAGCTAACAATGGCCGTAAGTATTGTGCTATGGACTCACAGGGTGATCTTTCAGGCGAATGCAGAACCAACTTGTATTGTAGGGGTAGTTAAGTGGAAAGACGTACAATAGTAGAAACCTCCTTTTCGTTTTTCCATTTTGTGGTCTTTGGCTTATTCCAATAATGAAAAGCACTAGTTTTATTTAAAAGGAAAAGGGAAGACAAGTTTGCAAGATTCGTACAGGCCAGACGTTGATCGTCAAAGTGTATCCCAAAATGCTATATATGACAATTATCACCTTTGAGACCACACACATTCTGAAAACCGGATTCATTCTGGCGTCGGGTCAGGCTTGTGGACTCTAACTCTTCTCACGCGATGACAGAAAAATCGATTAATAACGGTTTACTTTACATCTCGCCTGGACGTGTTCTTTATGATATCAGTTACACAGGAAGCCCTAACCTTCAGCTCAAGTAGACAAGTCTTATCTCGTAGCAGTTGAGTTTGGTAATCAGGGAAGCTGTTTTACTCGAATTCCATGGAAGCTACGATGGACCCTACAAAGAAACCTCTCGCAAAATACTCAAACGAAGTTTTTCGCAAAGGCTCTTTGGTTCTTTCTTTCATTTCAATTCTAATGATTGTTGCGCTGTTCTTGAGAATGGAAACAATAAACAGGAGAACGAAGATGAACGAACTTCGCATTTTAGATGTCGAAAGTTGCATAAAGACGCACGCTTTGACGAATAGAAGAAATGAAAACGTCGAGGGCAAGACCACAACGTCAACAGGTAGTAAAAGCACAAAACTGTTTCATTTCAGAAAAAAGGAATCCTAAATTTGAAATAGATATAGTTAGCTTGTATTTATATTAGCAACCTGATTTCGCCTCGTTACTTGATTACGGGTCTGTTCCTTGCAAGATAGAATTTGACGTGGCTAAAATGACTTATCCATTCTCAGACCTTACGTTAAAACATGATCGAGCTCCAAAGTTTTAGAATTCAAGTTTTGATGTAATAAAGGTCACGATAGGCTGTAACAGTGCAACCGAGAAGCCTCATACATTATTTTGGCAAGATGAATAGGTCAGTATTTGCTGTACAGTGGGATCATAATATTATACCATAAACCTGAAGCCCGGAAACAGATGATACGTACCGATAGAACAATGAGTAATTTGCCAATGCGCGTTTCTCACTTCTGATTGGGATTTCACAGCTACATGATTACAGTTTTAATTTTAATCACGTTTAAAAACGTGTGATTTGATTTTGACAGCAAGCTTAAAACTTTCACGTCCTGTTTAACGAGGTCAATTTACATGTCAGTATCCGATTATGGACTGAAAAAAGCGTCTGGCTTCCGGAAGTGAGGGTTTCCGGTTTAATAAAGTTAAAAATAGAGAAAATGTACGACAAAAAGTTTAGGGTAAAAAAAAAGGTTCCCTTAAGAGAGGATTCCAGTTTAATAGAGGGGTTCCACTGTAATTTCCACGCCTTTTTTTAAATGATATATATTTGCTACCGGTACAAGGAAAGATTTTGAAAAAACATCTAAGGATCAAAAGCAGAACTATTCATTAAAACATGACGTTTTAGCGGCGACGACTATTATAAAATGCAATTTGAGAAGATATTTTCTTTTCAGTCTTAAACAATTCAGGGAACGGCCATTAGTAAGGAGACTGCAGAGGCGTTTTTCGCATTTCCATAAGTCTCCTTTAAACGAAACTTAAATTATGATATCCATTCGTATGCAAAATATCGATCTTTACCCCATTTTCTCCCAAAATTCTCAATCCTTTTTTCAAATGAAGAAATATAAACTCATGGGAACTAATATACGTTGAGCATTTTCTGCTCAGGTTGCCGCACCAAGACAATAAACGAATCAACAAGTTGAAAATTATCTTCCTTTTTAACACCTCTTTCCCTTTCAGCAAAGAGGATAAATAACTGCCATCCACAAATGTTTGCATCCTCTAGAAGCCTCCGACTTGCATTTTTTTTTAATATTCAATTAACGAGTTTGAGAATGACGTTTATTTACAGCAACCACAAAAACACAGGATCTGATTTTATATCAATGTTCTCCATAATTCTTGGATTAACCCTATAATAAAAAAAATTGCACAGCCTGCTCCCCTTATAAACAAATATTTATCACTCGATAGCTGAATTGATTGAAAGTGGACAGTGGCAGTTTTCCTTCTTTCTTTTTCTGATGAAGTATAGTGGAATTTGTCCTCAACATTAACTTCGTTTAAAAAAGTCGTCTTTTTACATAGTTTCCGATGAAAAAAGCAGCAAATTTCGCCGGAGTTTGACACCAGACAGTAACAAACCTTTGACGATGGAAGACGTACGAAGTGAGATCATCAAGCAAATCAGTCAAATGCAACCAGCATCTTTTTGTCAGCCGTCTGAGAAAGTCTGCGTCCAAGGTCCTCCTGGTAAGAAAGGGAGCCGAGGTTCCCGAAGAAGGCGAGGACCTCCAGGACCGAAGGGAAAGAGAGGTGAACAGGGCATCATGGGCTTACCTGGAAGACACGGCAAGCAAGGCATCAGGGGAGACAAAGGCCTGGAAGGAGAAAAAGGTAGAAAAGGTAATCGACCCGATTTTTCTATCAATCAAGATTATTTCTGTTTCACTTTGATTAAAAAAGCGATTGAGTTTGAGTTTATCAATTGTTTCTTTGCTTTGTTTTTCAAATTTTCAACTTACAGGCGCGTCTGGCCCGCGTGGAATGATGGGGCAGAAAGGAGAACCAGGGGAAAGCGCCTCCTTGCCAGATGTGACCATAGCACCTGAGACTAAAACAGTAACTGAGAACCAGACTGCCAGATTCTACTGCTCAGCGAGAGGGCATCCAAAGCCTGTGGTGACGTGAAGTAGAGTCAATGGTTCGTCTGCGGTTAAGCGCGTCAACATCAATCAAAATGGCCTCCTAGAAGTTTTAAAATCAAATATAAATGACTCTGGGGAGTACGTGTGTTCAGCAGTTAATGTTCTGGGGAAGGACAGCAAGACTGCAAAGCTTTTCGTTGAAGGTGAGGAAACACTGATGATGTACAATCCACCATATCCACCATGAGGGGGGGGGGGGTTGACAATCGACAGGGTGACCGCTTTATACGGTACCGCTTCATACGGGTTCGACTCTATGCTCTTTACTTTGTTTCTTGGGAGATGGGACGATATCCTGCATTGTTTAGTTAACAATTATGTAACTGGAGGTGACTGTAATCCAACCCGCGTACAGGATTGTGGTCACTTCCTTTGATTTGAATAGAGTTGAACCAACGTACGTTCTGCTTGGCGTTCATTATTTCTTCTTATTCCATCTGTCTTCCCTAAAACTAAGGCCTGGGAAATGTGACAGAGGGAAGGGGATGTGAAATGTTTCCTCCATTTGAAGCTATTCTTTGTTTTCATTTCAAACCTCGATTCTACAGTTAGAATGTCACTGGCCAAAAATAGGAAAACTCAATTGATCTCTGTACACGAAAATGATGAAATTGTGACAAACGGTATAATGATATCCATTGACTGTGTGTGTCACGGTATTACAAAAGTTATGACAAGTACCTTAACTTATCCACTTTTGATTCCCGTTCGAATGAAACCTCATGACTGTATTGCGCGACCTGTCTTAAGGGCTCTCACGATTTTGATAGTTTTGTTGATTGCACCTCGAGTGGCCAAAATTACAAATACTTATTAGAAATCTTAAAGTTAGAGGATATTTTTAAATTGAAATTGCCTCTCTTGTGCATACAATTTAATGTCAAAATATATGTGTATACCTCCGGTCTTTTATGATCTAGCTCAACCAGCTTCAGCTGTCCATAAATAATATACTAGGTAGGCCACTAATCAAAACTTGTACAGATCATTTTCGAAAACCAATTATGATCTAACAAGATCTAGTGTATTGGTATCAAAGACCTGGCAAACAATACCTAATAAAATAAAGTGTCTCCCCGCCAAAAGCTGTAAAAAAGAATATAAACTATTCCTTCTTGGCAGGCAGACATCTTAATCAACTCTAATAACATTGAACATTTCACATTCAACATTTATATATAGCGCACCATGTATATAATATATCATATAGCTCTATTTTAAAATTTTAACTATGTAGTGTATGTGCTATCTCCTTAAGTATTCAACCTCCACTCATCTGTAACTGCTCTATGGTAGTAGTGAACTAGAAAGCTTGGCCCCTTTGGCTACTACACACTCTTTCCACTGCTTTGTGTAGTTTCATGTATAGTTAGAACTTTCTTCCTTTTTTTTTACTTTTTTTCTTTCTTGCTGTTGTATTTTTTTAGTAGACTAAGTTAAGTGTGAATAAAGTTCTTTGGTTCCTAATGTTTCTTAAGAAATTCTAGCTATTGTTTTGCTGTTCTTTTTTATCATAAATAGTGATAACTATTATTATTATTATTATTATTATTATTATTATTATGGTTACTATTATTATTACAGGTATGTTCTGAAAATAGTTGCTGTTTAAAAATTCATATTTGAGGTAAACACTACGCTAAACATTCACTCCGACGAAGGGCTAACGCTCGAAACGTCAGCTTTTGTAATCATTACGGTGGCCAATTTACCATTTCAACTTTGTTGATATATCCAAATTATTTCTAAAAATGTTATTTTGTTTTTCTTTTCCTTTCCTTCTTAACCTAACAGTTGCACCACGATTGACCAAAGAACCAGATCTCTTTCTGTCCTTCGAGAAAGGCACCGTGGCAGAAATAACCTGTGAAGCCCTTAGTTACCCGTCGTCTGTCATCACATGGAAACGCATACTCATGGCATTGCCAAAAGGTCGATATTCTGTTCATAATGGCACTTTAAGAATCAGAGACTTCTCCAAGACAGATTCCGGGCTGTACGTTTGTACTGCGACGAACAAACTTGGATCCGTTTCAGCTGTTACAACGTTAACGCTAAGATATAAGGAAAAACCAGGTAACTGTACATTGATGAGCAAGTTAATACCTACAAATTTCGGTCCGGCTTCCCGCACTGTGCGGTCACTCTATTTGCATAGTTAATAACATGATTTCTAGCAAAATTTTCAAAGACGACAAAATTCCACGAGCCCGTAGGGCAAGTGCAATTTGTGGTCGTTGAAAAATTTACAAGTGTTTAATTCTAACTTATTAATAATTCACATGAGAAAAGTATCACGGAAAGTCTAACAGAGAAAGTTCGACAGCGCGTGCGCTATTTGAAATTTGCACTCGTGTTACAACTTTGCACTCGTGTTACATGAGAAATGCCCTCGTTATTAGCCAATTAGAAATTCGAAATTTTATCATGTACACTGTTGGCTGTTTCTGTACATCGAGGTTTCTGGGAATGGAAAAACATGTAACTAGACGCATATCTGCGTGAACGCACATTTGGAGTTCTCTTTAGGGGACTGCCATACTGCCATTGTTACTGTCGTCATGCAATTTAATCATTGCTGGTCACGAATAAGTCTACTTGTGTTAATTTTTGACTGCTGGAGTGTAATGAGTGTCGTTATGGCACTAGACAACAATCCAAATAATATATTACCATCTAGGAGTAAGTTCCTGTAGTTGCCAAAGGTTGAAATTCAAGGACTTTTCAATGACTTTAAAGGCCAAGTTTTAGACAATTGAAGGACCACTTTTGGAAATGTTTGCATATGCAATTTTAAAATCATTTAATATTATTTTTCATTTTTAATATTATTATTTCATTTTTCTTCTAATCAAGAGTAACTGTCATGAAAAAAGACAACAAGATAATAAGAAGTTGAAGTTTAAATAGCTACACCAAAGATCTCAAATGGTATACTTTCCCAGATATTTTCTAACACTGCCAAGTATAAAATGGATTCAATAATTACTATCAAGGAGCTAGACATGTAACATAAAAACATTGCAAAAATAAAAAAAATGATAGGATAAAGAAAATATAAAGAGTCAAGATTGGCACACACAAATAACCTGGAAATTTAACTTTAAAGCATCTTCCATTAACTACTATTCCAGTTTTCTCAATGGCATCCCTCTGGCGATTTAAATCTTTTATCGTAGAAAAATAGAAATGAAATAAATTATAATACTGTCAAGACCCTATCAAGGAAACAAACCCGAAATTTCTCCTAAAGTAGCCATAAAAAGTGATCATAGCTAGAAGACTTAGAGGCTCAGCGTAAAATCAAACTCAGCCAATTATGTGATTTTCCTGCCAAGCAGAGATGAGTTCTGATACACCGTGAAACCAGCATTCACAACAAAACATAAGACAGCAAACTCACTTTTTCCAATCTTAATAAAAATATAAACGTTATGACTTACCCCGGTTCGTCTTAGCTTGAAAATGCTAAGTAACGTTTGCCAAGCTTTTCTTGATCCAGGATCAAGAATTTATTTTATCGATCAACCAAAGATATCTCACCACTTCTCCTTCTTCGAATTTCTGCCGGAAGATGGTAGAAACAACTCCAAATAGAGAGGCGATGGCCACTTTGTTGTTCTGAACATATCGGTCATCCAAGCTTCCGCCATTTTTTAAAGCTGGACCGTACAAAACGCTTGGAAAATGTGCCACCAACAGGCTACTTCAAAAAACTTGCTGACTCTTATGCCACATTTCTTGAAATTTAAGATAAACCATTCCCTTGACTCATCTGGAGGAGAATGAAGCAATTCAACCCTTCGAAGTTTCAAGGGATCCATAACTGCACTCGACCGCGGGAAACTAAACATTCCCGCTTTTGCTTACGCATATTAATATGAAATCCAATCTCCAAATGTCAATAGGCCGATCCAGCCCCTAATAAACAAAAGGCTTCATTGTACCCAGCAGGAACAGAGATTGTACAAATTCAAGCAACTACTCAGATTACTGCGAGCAATTATCGAAAAAGGCTGTCAAGGCGATGATGGAAACTTATCCGGTTTATGACGTCACTCCATAGCAACCAGCCTTTTCGAATATTTGAACTTCCGTTTACCTGTGGCTCGTGATGATACAA